TTGGTTTGTTCTTTGGTTAATTTACCTTGAGTACCTAGAAACACTTGGTGGATAGATTCTGGTGCTACTACTCACATAAGTGTTTCTATCAGGGTTGCCTGAACTACCAAAAGCAAAATGATGGAAAAAGATACATTTTCGTGGGCGATGGAAAATCGGTAGAGGTGGAAGCAACTGGAAATTTTAGGTTGCTATTAGGAACTGGTTATTATTTGGATTTAAAAGACACTTTTGTTGTACTATCTTTTAGGCGGAATTTGATTTTTGTTTCTTTATTGGACAAATATGGATATTATTGTTCATTTGGAAACAATTAGTTTACTTTGTCTTTAATTTCAAATGTTGTTGGAATTTGTTATTTAAATACGTATGACAACCTTTATTTACTGGATACAATTGCATCCTATAATGAAACCTTGCACGTGGAGTCACGTGGTACTAAGCGAAAATTAAATAAGAAAAATTCGGCATCATTATGGCATAAGCACCTCGGTCACATCTCAAAGGTAGAATTGAGTGCTTAGTGTCTAATGATATTTTGGGGTCCCTTGATTTTACAGATTTTAATGTGTGTGTGTTGACTGTATCAAGGGAAAACAAACCAAAACTAAAAGATTAGGTGACAACAGATCTAAAGATGCCTTAGAATTAATCCATACAGATATTTGTGGGTTATTCCCTACATCTTGGAATGGTCAAACATACTTCATAACATTCATAGACGACTACTCACGTTATGGGTAACTATATCTCATTTATGAGAAATCTCAGTCCTTGGATGTGTTCAAAGTTTATAAAGTTGAAGTTGAAAATCAACACAATAAAAGAATTAAGAAAATCAGATCTGATCGTGGTGGTGAGTACTACGGTAGATATGATGGCTCAGGTGAACAACGTCCATGACCATTTGTTAAATTCCTAGAGGAATATGGTATTGTCCCATAGTACACCATGCCAGGATCACCTAGTATGAATGGTCTTGTTGAGAGATGTAATAGAACTCCTAAGGATATGATAAGGAGTATGATTGCTCATTCTACCTTGCCTAAGTCTCTCTGGGGAAAAGCATTAAAGACAGAAGCTCATTCTATGGTAGATATGAGGGTTGTTAAACCTTCGAACATTCCAAAAGCACAAAGTCATTGGGAAATGGAGGCTTTCCTAGAGCACTAGTAATAATAGTTTAACCCTGACTGCGAGTATAGTTTCAACGATAAATTAAACAATTGGACCCAAACAAATATGTTAATCAAATCAAAATCAAGCTTCTTAAAGTGGAGAATCAAAGGCTTATGTTGAATATACCAAGGACCCCTCTAAAACCCTCTCCCTCGAAGCAACATCATCAAAATGAAATACGTACAAATTTGAACCAACCAGGTTTACCCGAACATTCGAAGATTTTCCCCAAAGCATCTCCACAGTTTGCTACATCACACTAAAATTGGGTGCTGCCAAAGCATGCTTCCAGTCTACCCAGTGGAGGAACTAGGTAGGGACCAACAGAAGCTTTGGTCCTTGCCAAATAATTTTTTTTAATGTTAATTAATGCTAAAAGATTATATTTCTAAAAAAAATAATACCCTCAATTGAAAAAAAAATATTTTTTGATAAATTTCTAGTTGGCCCTTGAATCCTTTTCAATTTTCTTATTAACCAAGTAATTTAAAAAACCATAATGTATTTTTCCATTAAATTTAAAAAATTAAAAACCATAAATTGAATATATATATATATATATATATATGAGAAATTTGAAAATATTCTCAAACTAAATTAAGTTATATAATATTTAATTCTTGAGTCAATTGAAAATTTATCAGGTTTAAACAATAAACAAGTTATGTATCAAACTTATTCTATCACACTAAATTATCTTATTTTCTCTAATTTATTTTATTCTTTAATGTATTTATTTTAACTTGAAATTTATTCCGATTATCAACAAAGTTTCAATTTGATTTATTTTATTTTGAAAAATTAAGTCGAATAAATATTTTATTCAAATAAATTTAAATTTTATAGATTCGATCCAACTCAGAAAAAAATTAAACAATAATAAAATAATAATGGTGAATTATATTAACTTATTTTTTTTCAATCTGACTTAATTAAATACTTAACCCTATTTATCATTTAAATTATTACCATTTTTCTTTTAAATATTTTATTAATTAGTTAAATTTTATTAAATTTTAATATTATAAATACATGATATATAGTATATTTTTTATTTTAACGAAGATATCGGTTAAAGGAGAATTTTTGCTCCTAACCGTTGAGTGACCTAATTAAGGTTTTATACAAATATATTATTGTTATTATTTTTTATAAATCTAGTGTGAATATAAGATATTTGTTTAAATCCTAATCATGTGGCAGTGAAAGATTATACCTTTATGTATGTAATATTTGAATTTAAAATTTTTAAAACAGAAACCATTTTAGTTATTGACGTTGTTTAATTTGTGTTATTAATATTATCTAGAATATACTTAAAGAGTAATTTTAATATGTTTATGTTTAAATATAAATTTGAATATAAATAATTAAAATAAATAATGATTGAGGATTGCTGATTTCTGAATAGGATGACTATTAAATATCTCTGAAAAAGTTGAGGTCAGTGCATGGCATGGAAGTTGGACTATCATTATGCAGCAGAAAGTTTACTGAGTCACTGACATATTAACCTTTAAGTAAATAAATACGCAAGATTTTATATTATTGATAACGAATTTGAATTTTTAAAATTACATGATCGATTTTAAATTTATAAAATTTCAGGATACGAAAAAAGATTTAAAATGTATATAAATTTTTAAAATATATGATAATTTTAAAATTTTAGGAAAGCGACTATCTCATCCACCCCTTTGATCCATCCTATATATATAATATCAAGTTGTTTTCTTAGAGAATATAATTTAAAGTATTAAATCGATAATAAAAATATTTTTTAAAAATATATCCAACACAAACAAAACTCATCAATCTTGAAATTTAAACAAACTTAAGATAATAGGATCATATATATGTAAAGATGACAATTTAAGTCGAGACTCGATCCGATCTGATAGGGTAAGATTTTTTTAAAGAAAAATTGGGTTTGGGTTGAGTTGGGTCGGTTTTTTTTAAGGGATGGGGTCGGGTAATTCTAGTTTCGGTGGAGGGTGAAAAAACTCAACCCTATCCGAGGATAATATAATGTAATTTCCTTAAAAATTTTATTATTTTTTAATTAAGTCTTTATTCTATATCGGGTCGGCTCGGGTCGAATTTATACTCTAAAAATTTGATTCGGGTCAGAGTCGGGTGGAGGGTATATATTTTTTGGGTCGAGTAGGGTCGGATTCGGATGAATGGTGCATATTTTCAGGTCGGATAAACCAAAACTCCCGTTGTCATCTTTAGATATACGAGACTAGTGTTAGCTATCAAAATAGGGTAAATTATGTATTTAATTATTTTTACAATTTTGTTTTCATTATTTAATTATTTAAAAAAAATCATATTCAACGTTACATTTTGATTCAGTTTTGGTCACTCACAGTTAAAAACTAAACATAATTATTGATGTGCCCAATTTTTATTTTTCAATGATGATGTGTTATTATCTTACGGTGACACGTTAGTATTATCATTAATTTTTTAACAACGAATGGTTAAAATAAAAAGAACATAACGTTATATATGAATTTTAAAAAATAATATTTGAACAACCAAAATAAAATGAATGGGTGACTAAATAAGTATTTCACTCAATCCTTTGTTAATCCACTAAATCACTAATTGCTTAGTCAAATTCATAGTACATATATCATATAAATGACTTTACTATAAATTTTGATATTTCAATACTATATTTTATTTATTACAAAATATTTGAATCAATTAACATATGTTTTTTTAATTAATCTAAGACGATTATAAGATAATATTTGTTTAAAATTTCTTTAATCAATTGACAAACACACAAACATCCTATAATAGCAATTGTCTGAATTCAAAATCATTAAGAAGAACAATATTCTTTTTATTAATCTCTCTTTTTATCATTTAAATCAAACTTAAACTAAAAATAGGTACTCAAACTGTGTTCTTTTTTTATTTATTTAAGTATCTAAACTATTTTTTGATCAAAATAAATCTTTAAATTATGATTTTTTTTTGTTTTAAGGACCTGAACTATATTTTTGGCCCAAACAAGTACTTAAAGTAGTAAGAATATAATAAGATTAAATAATTGATGGAAGCGTCTTGCAATTTTATCAAGAATCTTTACCAATTTTATTTTATATAATAAGATAAAATTACAAAATTTGAAAAAATCAGATTAAATTGACTACCTAAATGGATTTGACTAAAAATTGATGACCTGTTCGATTTTTATTGGGCCTCGTTTAGCCGAACTAAATTCGGACCTATAGATGTTTTTTCTACTCAAGAGCATGTCTATTATTATTAAAATTTTATATATATTTTTATTAATATTTACTATGCTTAATATTTATCTAACTCAAGCATTGAATTTTTTAATAAAAAGAGAAGATGAATTATCTAAAATTAAGTTAAATAATTAAGTTAAATATTTGAGTTATATGAATTGACTCTCGGTTTAAATTATGTCGTCGAGTTAGTGTTTTAAACTTTATATCGTCGAATTTATATTTAAAAGCAATGATGGTGTTAGTAGACATTATCTCCCTCATTTATCAAAAATATATAATTTTATCGTATCTCAATCAGAGAATTGAAGCCCAACACATAAGATCATCAAATTTTTTTCAAAGGAAAATTTTAAAACACAAAAATAATAAGATAATTATTTTATAATTTTAAATAATTGATAAATGAACAAAATATCTTACTATAATAGAGGATCATTCGTATACTTTAGCAATGACCGAATCGTCTCTCTCTCTCTCTCTCTCTCTCTGATGTTTATATAAAGCTCAGCAATGGCATCTTTATTAGTGATACACACACACCCAGTTTTCTTCACCGCAAGTACCATAACGCCGTCGCTGTTATCACAGTTTTCTCCGTTATGGCTGCTTTTTCCTACGATTCCATGCTTTTGTCTCCCACCAACAACTCATCCAATTCTTTCTCTCAATTCCACGACGCCACTGAAAACGATTCCACCGCGGTGGATAAGCTCCGACACGGCGAACAAGTTGCACAAAACGCGAAAAGGAAGACGAGAAACGCGACAACCTTGGATTCTTTGGTAATCAAAAGTGTTGCTGCATGCTTTTAAACCCAGATTTTCCTTGATGGTGTTTTCGATTGAATTAATCCGGGCTTTTCGATCAGGACGAAGAAACAGGGAAGAAAAGGAAGCAAAACAAATGCAATGAGAAGAAAGACAAAGAGGCTCCGACACAGTACATTCATGTAAGAGCCCGAAGGGGTCAAGCAACTGACAGCCACAGTCTAGCAGAAAGGGTATATATAATAAATGTAACTCAAAAAGTTTGGTTTCGGATTTGTTTTGTTTACCTTTGATGAACCCTAATGGATTGCAGGTAAGAAGGGAGAAGATCAGTGAGAGGATGCAGATATTGCAATGTCTTGTTCCTGGCTGTGACAAGGTGGGGGTCTCACTTGTTCACTTGTATTTTCATGAAAACTTTTCCGTGTTGATGGGGTTTATGTGTGAAAAATAGGTGAGTGGGAAGGCCCTCATGCTGGACGAAATCATCAATTATGTGCAGTCCCTACAAAACCAAGTTGAGGTACACACAACAATTAACAAAAAAAAACTGTTTAATTCTCTAATTTGTTTGCCTCTTGTTTTAATTAGCTTTTGTCGACCAAGCTTGCTTCTTTTAACCCCATATTTTATGACGTTGGAGTGGATCCGGATGCTTTAATGGTGAAACCAGAGGTAAATTTACATGCTTTAATTAATGCCTGTTTTTTTTTTCTTATTGTTTTAAAAAGCTGATGAAAATCTTTGTCTCTGACATAATCATTTTTAGAGTTGGATTGCACCACCACCACCATCGCAACAGCCCACCACCTTTGCTCCACCTTGTCTGGATGCTTCAGCTGCAGGTTTGGGAGGACGATGGACCAATGTCTTCTTCTCTCACCCTCAGGTTAGGTTATTAATTACAAAAGAACCACTTTCCAAGGGAAAACATAAATTTAGATTATTTGAAACTATTTTTTTTTTATTTTCAGGATAATGGTAGTTTATTCTGGGATTTGGGTTCTTTCCCTTGATAACAAGCCTCTGTTCTCCGGGAATAAGATACCGGTTTGTTTGTTTCAAGTAGGAGTAGAGAAAGAGAAAATGTAGGAGGAAGAAGATGAATAAAAGGAGGGAAAGCAAAGCCGCAAAAAGAGCACATCTTTTTTTGTGGATCCTTCAACTTTAATAGTGTTTATTTTGACTCCCATGCAGGAATCCCCTCCTATAAATCTTCCTTGTAAAGCTTCTGTTTTTACAGTTCCCTTGTACGATTGCTTTCATCAAAACTTTTTTATGTCTTAATAATTAGATTATATATTAATAATTAAAATCATCTATTTCACCCATTTCATCACAGCTTTAGAATGAGAATATATAAAAAGAAATAAATAAGAACCCTACCCGACAAGCAATTTTAATGGTTAAGGAGTATAATTTTTTCTAGAGTTTTTTTAAGTACAAACGAACATATATTTAAAGATAACTCTCAGCTATTTAATATTGAACATTCATATTCATAACATTTTTAGTACTCAAACTCGCGATCTCAAAATAATAACAATAATTCATTTATTATTGAAGTCTCATAATTTATATTTATTTCTAAAGATAAATAATATTATCTTCTAATGATGAATAATATTATCTTCCAATTCTGTTTGAAAAAGTAAATATATATTGGACAGTTATTGCTGCTATTGATGTGACCAGTTGTACAATTATTAGGCTTAGATTGTTTTCAATTAGGAATCTTGTTGTGTTTAATGCATGGTTTTTAGAATCGGATCGGTTAACGAATCGATCATGCTATCGGTTTATTGGTTCAATCGGTCGAATCGGTTTGATCGGTCAGAAGAACCGGACGACTTTATAATTATTTAAAAAATTAAATAAAAATACTAAAAATATTTAATAAAAAATAACTTTTTTATATCACAAGTTATATTCAAAGCAAGTCATAACATATATAAGTTAAAAACCATAAAATCAAGTGAAACAAAATGATTCAAATTAACTACAACATAATATTTAAGGTAAAACATATTAAATAATAAATATAATTATATAACTATAATTAAAAAATAAATTTGGGGTTAAAAAATCATAACAAAATGATATTGTTTGGTTTAATTTTTTTTAAAACAATCCCACATATCTAAGAAACATAGAAGAGCATCCCAAAAGTCTAAAGAGTAAAAATATGAGAACAAAACAATCTCACATTGCTAAGAAACATAGAAGCGCATCACAACTAACTTCTATAAATAATAGAGGTAATTTGACATTCAAAATCATAGAGCCTTTTGGTGAGCATTGAGTGAACTATTTTTTCACTTCAATCAAGCTCGAATTTTAGGCTTCAATCGAGTTTCTAATTTTTTTTTTAGTTCAAGCCTTTTTAAGTTTAACTTTCAATATTATATTTCGAGTTTGAGTTGAACTTGATAATTTTTAGCTTGTGAGTTTGAGTTGAGTTGAGCTTACTTTTAAAGTTTTCAAGTTCGAGTCGAGCTCAGCAATACTCGAGTTCGACTTGGCTCGTTTAACAAATGACGTTGTTTGATTTAATTTTTTTTTAAAAAAAAAACAAAAATTTTGGTTTTTCCCGGTTTTTTCCGGTTTTCAACCGGTCCGGTTCGAACGGTTCAACGGTTCTGGCCGGTTCACTAATAGTAGTTCAACCGATTTAGATTGAACCGAACTAAATAACGATTCCCGATTGAGCCGACCGGTCCGGTCCGATTTTCAAAACAGAGGTTTAATGGTGGCTGTCCTGGTGAGGAGTGTTCATCTTTGACTAAATATGATCTGTCAACGTTCGTTTGATTTTATTAAATTAGGAGTATCTGATTTTTATTTTTATCCAATTAAGCAGTTAAATCTATATGTTGTTATACAAAATACTTGAAAGTATTTGTTATTAAAGTAAAATTTATTCGTCATCCATTATTTATTATTAGAATTTTATATTCGTCCATCACTTTTAAAAATCACATTTATCATTCGTAATTTTTCTAAAGAATTCGACAATCATTTTTTCTATAATCAATAATTAAAAATTATGCTAAAAAATATCAGTTCTCAATTTTGCTATAATTAATTATATTAGTTTAATTAAAAAATGTAATTGATGGTATTAAAATAAAGAATAAATACGTAAAAATAATGGAAAATATATATGTTCATGTCATGACCTAATTCTAAACTGATACATATGATACTCTCATTTAATGTCTTACTATTTCACATGTTAGTTTTATAAAATAACTTAAATTGCATTATTTTTTAAAATATATTAATTATAATATAATTTTTAATATCAATTAAAGTACAGGGTAAAAAACACAAATGATCCCCCAACTATTGGATGTTGTTTTGTTGACTATATGGTGTTGGTTTGTTGAGTTACCCGACTATTCATATGTTCCAAACTCGTCATTTTTCGTTTAAAATTGATGTCGTCTGAGTTAGACATTAACATGATGACTGAGATATGATAAAATTATATTTAAATGATGTATACTAGCACCGTTGTTGCTTTTAAGTACTGGCTCGACGATATAATATAAACGGAGAGTCGATCAACAAAATACAACTCAAACGATTCTATGATCAGATTTTATCATATCTCAATCAACATGTTGACGTCCAACTCATACGACTGTCCTTTTTTAATGAAAATGATGAGTTTGAGACATGAATAGTCGAGTGACCATTTAGTAACTTTTCATAGTCGGGGGACTCAACAAAATAATTCAATATAGTTAATGGACAATTTTATAACTTTTAATAGTCAGATGACTCAAGAAAGTAGCAACCTATAATCATCGGGAGACCATCTGCGTACTTTACCTTAAAATATATTAATTTTATAAAAATATATGTGATTAAAGAGGGTGTTTTTATGTAGATACTATGTCTAGACATAAAAGGAATTAGATACGATACCTATTTTCATACATACACATAAATTATAAAAAAAAAGTTTGATGGGCATACGAATTTATCTTTTTCAAAGATTTGGGGAAGCAATGAATATTGAGAAACAAATAAAGTTGGACAACCAAAAAATAATGGTCGCGGAATTAGAAGAAAAAAAGGGGTGAATGATCATCATTTAATATTGTTCTATACCCTAAGTCAAAAAAATTAAATATTGTTCTATACCCCATCACACAAGCATTTCTTTCTTCAAAAATAGTGGAGGAAATTGCATATTTAATATCCCATTTATCACTTTTTATTTTCATTTTAGTCACACAATTATTTTTTAAACCAATCTGATGTTGCGTTTTATTTTCATTTTAGTCATCCACCGTTAAAAAATTAACAGAGCTGCTGATGTGGCATTATCTTATGGTGACACGTCAGCATCACCGTTAATTGTTAATGGCGGGTGACCATAATGAAACCAAAACTAAACGTTAGATATGATTTTGAGAAAAAGTAATCGGGAGACCAAAACGAAATAAAATTGAAAACATGTAGTTTACCCGAAATAATAACATATTGTTTCCAATATATTATATATTATAGAAATTTATAAGATTGCTTGAGTGGAACAAAATTGGACGTCTTTCTTTCAGAATTTAAAGTCCCATCTGCGGAAGAAATGGAAGTGAAAGAAAATTCTGAGCTGAACAAATTACAGATTGCTAAACTTAGATCTCTCTTTCTTCAACACTAATTATGAATTTCATTTTCCCCTTCAATCCTGCATTGAATTATAAGAAAACACAACACTTATATAATATATTTTCTTTTCGAAAGCTGCTTTTAACCCTTGATAAGAAAAATAAATAAATCTATGCCTAAAATCAAATATTATTTTGATAATATTTATATATATTTTCTTTGCTAAAATAATTCTAATCCTTCCTTTTTCTTTTCAATAAATATATTCAAAAATAGTATAAACCAAAAAATAACCATGGGTTTGTTGAAATTGAATATAATAGAAGTATCAGCAACAACAAGAATCAACCTAATTAGGGGTGCAAATGAACAAAATGTTGAATGAATTCTTCATGAACCGTTCTTATAACGTTCATTTATTAAGTTAACAAATATGAACAATTTTTGTTTGTTTGTTTAATAAATAAATGAACCGAACACAGATGAAGGTGTCTTCGGTTCGTTTATGTTTACGAGCAAGCTCGTTTTCTTGATTCTCTCTTTCTTTCTTTTTTATCTTTTTTATATTTTAAATATTGGTGAAGATAGAGACTAAATTGAACACATGATGAACTTAGACATTTAAACGGTGAAGCCCAAGGAGTTAAATGATTAACCTAAGGAGTTAAATGATTAATGACATGATTTTATCATTTCTAAACAAATAAACGAACGTGTTCGAGAACAATAAATAAACGAACATGAACACCTTCAAAAATAAATAAACGAACATTAATACAATATTAAAGATTTAAACAAACACGAACTAACATAAACATCTTCAAAAATAAACAAAGGAACTCGAACACGGCCTTATTTGTTAAAACTTGATTCATTTACGCCTCGAAACATAAAATAAAATAAAAAATCATCAATGTGATCAAAATAAATTAATATATCAAAGCCAAACCACTAAGGCAAATTTAAAATAAAAAAGGTAAATTACAAATTTCACAACTCAACTTTTTCCTCACTCTTATTTTAGTTAAACTTCACGACTTAACTTTTTCCTCACTCTTATTTTAGTCACGTTTAAACATTTTCAATTGAATCACTCAACTTTTCAAATTACTCTAATTTGATCACTCTACCGTTAAATCTTTTTTGAACATCACACCTTTATCTTTTTCCAAACAAATTAAACATCTTTTGTTTTTTATTCATTTCTTTTCCATGGCATAACCTCATAAGTGATTCATTTTAGTCCCTTCTTTCGTTATGTACTAATATTATTTGATCAAATACATTCTAAGGGTCAGTTCTCGTATTAACAACAAAGCAAATTAATTATTCAGAATTAATGGGATTCAAATCTTAAATATTTAGCTCATAAATTAACTATGCATGGCCCAAAGCTTAATTGCTTGCGTGATGAATGAGAAAAAGAACATTATCTGGTGATGAATAAATAAAAGTTTCTGATTATTGAATCATTATGTACAAATTAATTGGCATTTTGCCACCATTAGTGGTTAAATGAAAGAGGCTACATTTACATGCATGTGCAAAAATTATGAACAGGCAAAGAGAAATGAACCTTATGCAGGCATTTTTTTAGCTGCTGATGTCGAAGTACTTCGGATTCGATGGGAAATCGTACTCCACATGTGGCTGCAATGCAAGTGTATCGGATTAGGCACGGCGAGTAGAAGTCAGGCTATTAAACATCTCATCATTCATCACCAAATTCATGTTCACAAAGAAATATAAAAGCATAAGGTTTCTTTGAAGCTCTTGGTTGTATGTATCAGAGAAGGCCAGATGGGGGACCTGAAATTCGTGCTATATATCGAAAAAGACACTATAATGCATACGGACCAACACAGAAGAAGCATGAAGCACTTAAATATACTAGGATCGTACACCACACAATTTACCTGACCCTCATCGGCATCCGAATGGCGTTGCGGGAAAACCACCCTCATATTATTGTACAAGTAGAAGCGTCGCTCCCCTTTGATGTTCATGTTCTCTGCTGGTACAGACAGAGGATCGGATTTGCACCTTCGGACGGACTTTGAACATTTCTTGGAGGAAGAGCATAAAAAATGGAGATGAAGTGCATAGCGCAGAACACCGGCACCCATAATACTCTCATTCACCCTTGATGAGCTATGTACAAGTTTGTTTAAATTTACATTGCTATCATTCGATGGACTGTCGAAGTCCCCAGAACATTCAACAGTTTCACTATCTGTATCTTTCATATCCTGGTCAGGATATCCAGGAGTACGTAATATTCCACTAATCGGATCCGTTTTTATCTCGGAGCTTTTACGGTTTTCTTTTACTGGTGTGTGTGTTGCGGTAGCGGGAGCCAAAGTAATCCTTTGGCGCATAAATGTCTGTTGAAACAAGGGTCATTACAGAACTTTGGTTCTTGATAGTAAAGTATAATTTTCATGACGAACGATTCTAATGTTATTTATCTCTACGACACACCTTTGAATCGGCAGGCATGTCACTAAGATCATAGTTACAAAGGAAAGTGTGAATCGGAGTCTTTTCCGGATTGCTTAATACCTGTGAACACCAATTACAATTTCTCATGATGTCATAAAGCTTATATATAATAACATTAGCAATAACTGGACAGATGCGGTGAATGATTGGTCTAGAAGGTTCTCAATGCTCAGCTAACGTTACCAATTGTATCCGCCCCTTCATAGGTACAAGAAGGTGACTCCTTTCAGCTTGCGAATCGTCAATGCTCAGGCTCCATTTCGTTTTTAGGCCTTTAGACTTGTTTGTTGAGGCATGCCTGGCAAAATCTATTGATGAATAATAGAGCAAGTAGTTATCTCCATCGACACTAGTTACTGCAAATGGAAGTTTCTTTGATTCCGGAGAAAAATTCCCACCCGCGATACTGAGAATAGCAAGGAAACCATCAATTCTCTGCATACAAGCAATCAAAATACGTCATTGGTCTAGGAGAGCATTCAGTTCAAACACAAACAGGAACTCCGATTACACAAAACTTGCTAACCTGACTAGCTTTTCCCGATAACAGCCGACCAGAAAACAGGGACTCCTCAAATGAACCAACCAAGGACCTTCTGGCAGATGGTCCACTAAGACTTCTGACAAATTTGCCGCTTTTACAAGCAAGATTCAAGTCTCGATTCTGCAAATCATCGAAATGATGAAATGATTTACTATACAACCTAAAATCTTCATCCGTCTGAACAGATACTGTTCCATTAAGAGACTGCTCCATATCCTTGAACGTCATATAATCGTCTAATTTTTCCATCATATCCTTGCATCTTTCAACATATTTTGTTCTTTCAATAGATTTCGGACCAAGAGGAGACAAAGATAAGGAAGGTGAGGCTGTCTTCTTGATAGGTATTGCGATAGCTGGTGTCTGGTGCCTTCTTTTATTCGTTTCTCCAGAATAACTTAGCGCTCGAGATGTAGACACAAAGTGACCGTCAGATTGCAGCCCCTTGTTCTTTAGTAGAGGACCATCGGTGAGGACTATTGAGTTTGCTCGAGAATTATCAAGAAGTGAATTCTTCCATCCTCGAGAACAAGATGTTGAGCAGACCACAGGGTCTAAAGAACTAGAGTTGCTAACATAAGCCCTTTTATGCTCTTGTGACACATAAATATGGCAGGTTTTAATTCCATCGACAAAACAACTTTGGCTTATACCACCACCAATATCGAGAGCATCACCATTAAATTGATTGGGGCTGAGCATTCCACTCGAAGGAGACAATAGATGCTTCCTTGCAACTGAACCATTAGACTCGGCTGCATTACTGGTGATACGGACAACAGTGGAAGAAGTTGTCTGAATATTATTCCCAGTTTTATGACCGAACCAGCCATATTGTTCAACAGTACCAATCTTCAGCTTATAAATGTTGGATCTACCGTATTTATTCACATTCAAAGTCTCGGGATCCTTTGGATGCTCCCCAGTGGTTTTTATTCGCAAATCTCCTAAAGAAGAGCGTGGCAAATCCACCTGAATTTGATTTCCTAGATTCTCTCCATGCATCCTTATTAAATCACAGTTGTTCACACTGACAATCCTGTGTGGGGTCTGTACAAACGTACAGCGATGCAGCGACTTCCTCGACAACACCACTAGAGGAAACTTGAGGCAAACCCATTTTAACCATCCACGTCCAAAATTCAAAGCCCTTTGCAGATAATTGATTATCGACTCTCGAGCACTGTTCTTTTTGTACATTAATGCTCAACTTACTGAAGCAACAACGGAATAAAAAAAACTATTGATAGATGAAAAAGAAAATAAAAGCAATGTTGACAACTGCATTTCTAAGTATATGGAACAAGTATGGTTAACTAGCAACTAAATCCACCCCTATTCCAACAGCAGCTAGTTTACCGAATTGTGCACCCGAATTCCGTATCAGTGCAGAAAGGTCGAAAACAGTTTCTAATTTCGTCGTAGAAGCCTGGCAAGGAAAGAGAAATAGATTGCCCATGTTTTGCCAGACTCTAACGTACCATCCTGCATAGCGCCAATAATCAGCCCATGAAGGAAGAAAAAAGACATTTAGTTATAATATAAACACACACATATACATGTCGCAAAACACCAGTATTTGTGCGATGATCATCAAACTCACAAAAATTATCACCACTTGTCTTGTTCTCAAGCATTTCCAAAGATAAGAAGCTAAGAACAAAATAGAAATTCTCAAAGCATAGAATATATTCTATGCATATAGGATTTCCAGTATATATATATATATATAAACTTGATCAATTATGACATCCAGGCTACCAAGCACGAAAATCCTCAAACATTCCTTGTACTCAACTCCAACAGAACAAATAATCTAACAATTAAACACCAAAAACCATTGATCAAAGCAATGTTTATTGGAAAAATAGCTAAACCCCAAATATAAACAATAGATAATTTTTGTTTTAAACCACAACAAAACCCAATCATTTTATTGGTTTGGGTTTTTTTGATTTCTACATTCAGGTGACGAGATTCTCAGAGAACTTTCAGCTCTTTCTCTTAATTTTTTAAAACCATCAAATAAATGATCATCAAGAACAATATACAATTTCAAAAACCCAACTTTGAAGAAGATATGATTCAAATAACGATAAAAATCAAAACTTTGACAATTCTACCTCAAAACAAATGAAGAACAAAAGGCAGGAAAACAACATACCAGTAATGTTCCTGTTGATCAAACAAAAAAAAAGGAGCAAAACCCAGCTCAAACCTCAAAAACCCATCAATCTAAAACACAAAGAAAAACCAAAAGAACAAAAAAACCCATATCTAATTCCATATAACTTGTCTTCTTCCTTCTTCTCTTTTTATCTTTCTGTACATGTTCCTATAAGGTTTATATAATCTCTATCCAATATCTTAACCTTTTCTCTTTTCCTTGGATACAGTATCACTAAATTATCGTACGCCTCCCAAAAAAAATGAAGGGAAAAGAAATGTGTGTCAACAGTTAACTGGAATATTCTTGGTTGGCTATGAATTTATTGTCTTTTTAAATTTCCTTCAAAAATGGAAAAAAACAAATCTTGGGAAAACTCGCATGCTCCTCACGTTTCTAAGCTTTGTTTTTTTTCTTCTTCCTAGAATTAATTATTATGAGGCGTGTTTAGTTCAAGTTGGACGCTAGCGGCTGTCATTTGCCTCGCCCCTTGATATGACCTGTCGTTGTCAAAGTTGGTTTTTATTGGTGTTTATTTTTTTTATTAACTTAAGATTATTATAAAATAGTATATATTTAATTATTTGATAATAAATATTTAATTATTTTATTATAATAATTAATATTTAAATTTATTAATAATAATTTCTTTAATAAGGGAGAGGAGTTTATTCGTGTTATTGGTGTTTGTTTAATGTTAAGTTAAAAACCATTGCTCATTGAGTTCTGACATCGCCATTGCCACCGCGGATCTACTTTCGCCTCCAACCCACAACATGTTGCCTTCACCGCGTCTTTTACCCTTCCTTCCAATTTGTAAAGTATATACTTCGTCGGTCACTCAAAATAACATAAAGTTTACATTTGGTATGCAATACATAATATTTTTTTTAAAAAATCTTCATTTTTTAGGATAAGCTACGTACATGATCATTTTATTTTGAGTTTTATAATTTTTTTCTCATTAAATTTAAAAAATATAAGATTTTTTCTCTTTCGTTTTAATTAAGATGTGATCACTGAAGGTTAGTGACCATTAAATCTTTAACGATTAGTTGATGTGGAACAGTAAATATATAGAATTAAAATTACATTATTTCCACGTGTATAAAGCATGGATTAATTTTTGGTCACTTACGTTATTATTTTATTAAGTTTTAGACACTTACGTTATCGTTTTGTTAAGTTTTGATCACTTACATTATCGTTTTGTTAAGTTTTGGTCACTTGAACGATGAATATCATTAGTTTGATGATGTGGCCTACTAGTAAAATAGTTTACTTTTTATTTTAACCCCTAAACTTTAGACAAAATATTGATTATGAGTCTTTTTGTAAATTCAAATTAGTTTAGGGATAATATTTCAATTTACCCATTTTTTAATTTTTTTTCTTCCCAACCCCCAATATTGCTCATCTTCTCCCCGCTTCTTCTTCAGATATCTCTGCTCCATTTGCCTTCTTTCAAGGAATCATGTTGCATTTCAAGAAAAATGAAAGATTTCCAACTTCTAATAAAAAATAATAACATCACAAGTTCAGAGAAAAAGGAGAGGTAGGCATCTAGAGATCAAATGAAGCTAGATAATCTCAATTATACAAACTAAAATTCAATTTCTAAAGGTTAAGATTGCATAATGCCAAATCCAACAAGTAACAAAAAGACAAATCAATGGATCCAAATAACCCAATAATTGAATATCACTCTTCGTGGTGATTTTTCCTTGAGAAAACGTCTATGATGAAACATAATCAATGAATCTGAACAACCCGATAATTGGATATGTAAATTCATTCACTAAACTCAATCCAAAGTCCATGGTCTTCAACATCAAATCTTTGTTTTTACTCAAGAACAAGTAATTTTTTGATTCTAGATCCCTATGAATCACGGTTAACCTCTACATCCTACACGATTTGTCGTACCATCGCTACTGCATTGGCCTTCAAGTACCTCATTTTCGCGACGACCCAATCGAATAACTCACCGCCAAAGCAGAGCTCTAGTACTAAGTGAATGTCGGTTTGATATTCATAAATGTCATGGTGGTCAATCACGTTCGGATGCGACGAAACGTTATTGACAATCTTTTGTATCACATGGATTTCGTTGGTCAACAAAGCGTTAGAGATGGAAACATGGTACTATGTCATCAATAACGCTGCCATTGAAGAAGCACTAATTTTCTCGGCTCAAGACAGTGGCATCGCAGTGGTGGTGAACCTTTTCATAATTTTAATGGTGAATTCTCTACATTTTTTATGATCTTCATTACTTCTTTTCATACATTTTCTTATAATTGAGAATCCACTTAATTTGACTTCAAATAATTAGAAACAAGAAGGCTATTGGAATGAAGCAGAGATGTCTAAAAAAGAATCATGGAGAAGATGAACAATATCGGGGGTTAGGAAGAAAAAATATTAAAAAATTGGTAGATTGAAATGTTGTCTCTAAACGAATTTAAATTTATAAAAAGACTCATTATCAGTATTCTCTCTAAAGTTTAGGGTTAAAATAAAAATTAAACCATTTTACTACATCCAAGTGACCAAAACTTAATAAAACTATAACGTAAGTGAACATAACTTAATAAACAATAACGTAAGTGACCAAAACTTATGTTTTCTTTAAAGGAAACTGGCCAAAACTTTATATATTTACTGTGTAAATGATGTAATTTTACGTGGAAATGATGTAATTTTAATTTTATATATTTATTGTGTCACATCAGCAAACCGTTAAAAGTTTAACGGTCGTTAACCTCTAGTTACCACATCTTAATTAAAATAAAACGAAAGTGACAAAATCCTATGTTTTTCGAATTATGTGAGGAAAAGTTTACAAAACTCAAACGAAAGTGACCATTTATGTAGTTTACCCAATCTTTTTAGTCAATTTTAAAAGGTTAAATTATTTATTAAATATTTTAATTTTAATTTTAATTTGAGATATAAAGCATACCTTATTTGATATTTACATTTATGTGCATTTAGGTTATCAATTGAAAAAAATATAACGATAAAATTAACTCTTAATATTTTTCTAAATAACTATTTTGACTCTTATTTTTTTAGGAATATTTTAGTTTTTAATATTTTAATTTTTAATCAAAATAACCCCTATTAGATGGAAACAATTAGTTGACTAAGTACCAATATATGTTGTTAGTTGACTAAGTATCAACATATGTTGATGATCTGGAACGTGTTACATCACAAAAGGAATGACATGATATGTGTTACTTTACATATATTATAGCATGTACCACGTCATCTAAAGTGATGATATGTTATACCACTTAAATGATGATGTGTCATGTGCTATGTCCCTTAAATTGTTGATATGTAAAGTGTCACATCACTTGAATTATTTATATGTTATGTAGCACGTCATCTAAATTATTGATGTGACATGTGTTATATCACATATGGGTGAACAAAATTCGATTCGATTCAAAAAATCATTTTTTCAATTTTGAGTTATTTGAGTCAAGTTGTCGAGTTAACTCAAATTATCAATTCGGTTTTTGAGTTTGAATCGAATTGAACTTTGGAAATTTTAAGTTACTCGAAAAAATAAAAAAATTTGATAAATTATTTTGATATTTTTACACCCAATATTTTTAGCTAATATTAAAAGTTTAAATTATTTAGTAAATATTTAAATTTAAATTTTAATTTGAGATATAAAACATAACTTAATATTATCTAGGTTATCAATTGAAAAAAATTATAACAATAAAATTAATTCTTAATATTTATCTAAATAGTTATTTTAATTTTTAATTTTTTTTATATTTTAGATTTTAATGTTTCAATTTTTAATTAAAATACCCTCTATTAAATGGAAACAATTAGTTACTAAGTATCAACATATGTTGATGATTTGGCATGTGCCACATCACAAAAGTTTTTGGCGTTATATGTGTCACTTTACATATAATATGGTACGTACCACGTAATCGAAAGTGATGATATGTCATATCACTTAAATGATGATGTATCATGTGATATGTTACTTAAATTATTAATATGTCACGTGTCACATCACCTAAATTGTTGATATATCGTGTGACATGTCATATAAATTATTGATGTGACATGTGTTATTCGAGTCAATTTTTTTTTAATTTTGAGTTATTCGAGTCAAGTTGTTGAGTCAACTCAAATTATCAATTCAGTTTTTGAGTTCGAGTAAGTTGAAATTTGAAAATTTTTAGTTACTCAAAAAATCAAAAATTTGATTAAGTATTTTAATATTTTTACAATTTAGTCTCTGATTTCATTAGTTCTTTTAAGTCCACCTTTTACCAAATTTAAACAACATGCTCCTATATCATCATAGAATACATATGTACTTTCAATTTCTCTTTTTGATAACAATTTTTTATATTTCAATTTAGTCCCTTAATTTTACATATTTTCCTTATTTCTTCAAATCATCCTTTATTTAAGGCAGGGTTTTTACAAAATTTAAACCACATGCTCATATATCACTATAGAATATCTATGTAACTTCAATTCTTATTTTTTTAACTCAAAATATACTATCTTTTTTATTTAGTCCCTTTGCATTTTACTTAATTTGGTCTTTTGACTGCAATTATTTGTAAAGTTTTTATTTCCATCAATTCCTTGACTCTCTTATACTCTCATTAATATTTTACCCTCAAAATGTTTTATTTAAAATATAATATTATGAATATATTTTATAATTTTAGATTGCATTTAATATATTAGATAACATTATAGTGTGGAAAAAATAAAATATATATATCTTGTATGGTTAGGGAAAATCAAAAAAAATTTGGAACCAATCCTTACCAATACTATAAATAATTATACTAAAATTAATATAGAAACTCGAATAAATCAATTCGAG